CAGAGGCTTTAAAGAGGCAGTTAAGGTTAAAATGGGGTCAGCGTGGTAGGCTTTACTCCAGTATGACCTGTGCCCTTATAAGGGCTTTAGATATGGAAAATAAATAGCCATGTGTGAACAATTGAGAAAGCAGCCATCAGCTTGTCAAGAAAAAAAGGACTCAGAAGTAAACAACTGTGACAACACTGTCCTGCATTTCCAGTCTCTAGAGTTGTGAGAAAGTAAACTTCTGTGACTTAAGCTACTTAGTTGATGGTAATTTGTTATGGTAGTCCTAGCAAACTAACATATGTGCCATACTCCGTACTGGCCTTCCTACCGTTGGTCCTTGTCAGAGAGTAGGGGTTTGCAAGATCAAAGGACTTGTTCAATTCAGTGCTTATGTGCTATTGGTGCTTATATCAGTCTGTCAATTATACTCCTTTTTGGACTGTAATAAAATGATCATGAGTCCACAGGGTTTGATATGGCCTTTTGGTCAGTCCTATTGAGGGCAGATCTGTCCATCAATGGGTACACCTCTATCTACATCTATAGTTTTATGGGTCCCACCCACAAGTGCTATGTATGAGACAAGGATGGACCAAGGATAGAAAAGACAGTAATTGGACAAAGGTGAATGTAGGCAGGAAAAGGGGCACAGTTATCTCAGGGTCTCAGTGTTTTGGTGTGGAACTCTGATGAGCCAGAGAGCTCTGAAGTTCATGCATCCTCCTAGATCCTAGTGGAGCCATGATCTCCAGGCAGTAGGGTAGAACTGGCTTTAGAGCAAAGGTCCTCAACCTTCCTAATGCTATAAAATTATTTTGTTGCTACTTCATAACTGTAATTTTGCTACTGTTGTGATCATAATGTAAATATCTGATATGCAGGATATCTGTCATGACCCACACAGGTTGAGAACCAATGCTTTAGAGGCTCATAAGCTTGATTTATAATTTGTAAGTTCTTAATTATATATTTTCTTTATAGGCCTTTATTTATTTATTTATTTATTTATTTTTATTCCAAGTTCTATATGTGTTAGGGGTGGCTCTGGTCATTGTAAATTTCTCTTATATGTAGGAAGAGACATTAGGACTGCATCGCTAGCCGTTTTGGGCATGGCTAGAGGCGCATATGGATGTGGTAATCAAATTCGGTAAACTGTGCCGCTAACCACGCCCACTTTGGGCGTGATTAGAGATGCATACAGATGTGGTAATGAAAGGGAGGTGAACTACACCTCTAGCCATGCTCACTTTGGCATGTACAGAGGAGTTAATAAAAGGCGCTGAAGGAGAGATGCACTCTCTCTTTTCAGCTTTTGGTTCTGTGGCGAAAGCTGCTGAGTCACCTTGGTTGCCCGTTTTCTCTTGTAAGTTATTTCTATAATAAACAGTTACCTATACCCTCAACAAGTGTGCCGTTTATCGTTATAGCAACACTCATAATATTCTTATTTTTGGAACTAGAAGAAGTATACACAAGCTGGGTCTATAGCTTTTATCTATAGTATGATAAATTAATTGATTCCATCTTAGCCTACTTCAAGTTTGAGAATTGTTACGAGTTTGGACAGGGATACAGGGACAGGAAGGAATCCAGGGTTTCCACCTGGGAAAGGAAACACTGATTACATATGCAGGCCTCTGGGGTCAGACAACTTTGGGTAGTTCATATCAACATTTTGGGACATAATTGTGTCAGTGCATATTCTTAAAGAAGTAGGCACTAAGACAAAGATAGATGTGTGAGAAATTTGTTGCTGTATTGCTTACTTCTCTAGTAGCTGTGACCAAATACCTGATAAAAGCAACTTGAGAAATGGGGGGTTTATTTTGGCTCAGAGTTCACGTGGCAGCATACCCTAACGGGAGGGAAATCACGGCAGGAGAAAAGTGAGGTAGCTTGTCAGTCGGGAGTCAGAAAGTGAACAGAGAATGAGGCAGGGCTATCCAATTTCGAGGCTTCCCTAAGTGACTTTCTTCCTCCAGTGAGGTTCGACCTTCCACAGTTTCTCAACCTCCCCATACAGTCCCACTCATTTGGGACCAGGTGTTCAAACACTTGAGCCTATGAAGGACGTTTCAGGTTCGAACCACAATAACTGGTAACAAAGGCTCAGAAAGGAAAAAAAAAAACGGGGCAGAAGGGGAGCAGAGGGAAAAGACGTGGGGGGTTCTGCAATTCCAGGAAGGGACTATGGAGAAAGGAAGGAGCAGGAAAAGATCTCAGAAAATCCTGACCAGCTCTATGAGGTGTTCTCATAGCGGAATCTCCTTCTGTAGAAAGGACCAGACTTGGGTACCCCCATTCCATGTGGTGGCAGCTGGTCACTGCCTAGACGCTGCAGAGGTGGCGTAGCTGGAGAACACCCGCAAAGTCCATTCCACATACGAAGTTCTACATCACTGCTACACTGGGTGCAAGCGCAATTCATTTCTCCCCCCCAGAAAAGGCTGGGTTTTTATTCAAGTAACTGCAACTAGGAACCCAGAGGTTTGAGTAACATTATTTTTTAAACTTGATTTCTGAAAATGCTAGTTGATTTAAATAGAACCTCCCTCCTTAGCAATTTATCTAAACAACAACTTCACTTTTATTGTGTAAAATGCTTATGGTTGATGTTGAATTACAATTGAATGTTTAATTCAATAAACATCTATTAAAGTGAAGAACAAGTGTCTGTTGCTGCCAAATGTTTGTAAGGTGTAAATGGTAAGTGAACAAGAATGTTGTCACTTTTAGAAAAATCTTCCTTCAGATCCTTGGCCTGGGTTGAAAGGCTAGGGAAGAAAGAGATCAAAGAATAACAGGAAGTCTCGTGGTTAAGGATAGCCAGTACTGGGTTTGGGTGCTCTGCTCCTTTTGAATGGTGGGCTCTGTGGGTGCTCCAGGGACATTAAACACCCTGATTTTGTTGCTTCAGTAGTCGTTAGAGCAGTAGCCTCAAGCTTCAGTGTGCATGCAGATCACCTAGGAGTTGTGTTAAAATGAGATTCCATTATTTGTTAAGAGTTTGAAGGCCTAGTGCTAACTCTGGTTTGTCAGGTGCTTTATGTTTTGTGCCAATGCAGGATGAGAACATTCTGAAGCTCACTTCCATTTATTTACTTAAAATGTGAATAATCAATATACATAAATAGCTGCATTTATCTCTCCCTGGTGCACAGTTCAACCTTTTGGTTGATTATGAAGCATTAAATTGTCTTGTTTGGATGCCTTGGGAACAACTGGATACCATCAATGATTAGGGAGTCTAGTCTAGTCCAGTGTGTGTGTTGTCCTTTATAAGGAATTTTAGACAGTCATACAAAGTGTGTCACTCCCCTGTATGATTTATATTTATATATTAAAATGCATTTTTCTGACGTTCAAAGCATTGACATTTTGTGGGTATCTTTTCTTTCATTATAAGCCCTTCCTGAATGCTGAGATGACTGCTAAATGAATCATGATTTCATTTCCACAGACCTTTTTTTTTAAAGTTCCACAGACTTCTTTTCAGCCTCCACTATTTTATATTTTACCAGAGAATAAAAGGAAATTAAACATGAACCACAGTGCACTTCACCAAAGTACATGCTACTGTTACGGACTGAGAGAATAAATACCCACACCAATGTCTCTGGGCAGAGCCTGTCTAGAGACTTTGGTTAATTTGATTTCACATAGTCTCTCTCTGCCAAATCAGATTTAGTTGTTTTTGTTTTTTTGCTGTTAGAAAGCATTGTTTCTACCATAACAGGTTCCTTACTAGATAAATATTTGATAGTAGAAAAATGAGCAATTGCAGGGAACAGTTAATACTTGGCAAGTAGATGGGTGAGTGTCAATTGCCCAGGAGAAAATGGTTGCATATAATGTAGTATACTCACTTGTGGAGGCAGGAACTGCTAATGTTCTCTATCTGGAGATTCCATTATTGCATTTAGGGAGACATCTTTTAGGTCTGTGATACCTTTCTTCCTCTATATTGGATTTCATGTGGATTTATTACCTGAAATTCCTACTTAAAATGGACTACTAGTAGCTTATGGTATGATCCGAAGAACTTCTTCAAGAAATATGTGAACACATAAACATGTATAACTTTTACAATATTCTTTTGGGGAATTTATAGGACACTAAGAATAAGAATGGCTGAGGTTAAGATGAAAAAGATATACAAAGAAGATTCAGGGGAAAGAAAATTATATTGCAGATGAGATAAGCTGAAAACAGAGAAGGAAAAATAATAAGGTTTAATTGGCTCAGTGTTTAGATTGTTGATTGGGACATGCCTACTTTTAGACAATTTCTTTGGTAGTTCTAAAAAAGACTTACTCAAGATAAACTAACTGTAAAGATAAAAGCAAGAGGAAAGTTGATCATATGCACCAAGACAAGTCATATAAAAAGGAATCAATCACATTTAGAAAATTTATCTTTGAGATGTAAAATGGGGCAAGTGAAAAGATATATACAAAACTTTCAGTTTTTGCCAACAGTTTCAGTGGTATTTACAATGGTGGAATATGCAGCTGAGCATGTTAAATGTGGATTTTTACTCTAAAAATCTCTACTATGCAATCATGAAAAATAACTTGGTGTGTCAACACTTCTCAAATATTAATGTACATGTTACTCAGTGGTATCTTGGTAAATATTTAATGATTGGTTCTTGGAAACAAGCTTGAAATTCAATGTTTGATTATTTCTATGACATCAACACTTTACCATAGATAGTTCCATTTCCCAGTGTAATGCTACTGAAGACAAAGTTAGGAAGAAATGCTTACAATTGACCCTTTTCAGATGTCAACCAGTGCTGGAACATTATAAATCATGGGGGTGGGGTTGTCTTGCTTAAATGAATTTTAATTCATTGGGTCTGAGATGAAACTTGAGAATTTTTATGTCTCAGGTCTGCTGTGGCTGCTCTGGGTACAACTGGAGCAAGACTTGCATATATCTGATGAAAAGGGGAAAATGCACTTCCATATATATATTTCTCTTTGTGTTTTCTGATGTTACAGAATTCTAAGAGCTTTGGAGGAAGCTGTCAACTCTCTTCTGCTATTTTTAAAAGTATACAGTTGAGTTAAGCTACTCTCTCTGGTATACAAGGTAAGTCAGGCACTGTGAAATGATGCAATAATGTTGGTAAACAATTCATCAATCCTTTGTAAAAGACCAGACTTTGCTTAACTTATGAACAAGCAATTCCATTCCTAGATATTTGCCTTCTACCCCAAAAGCACAGTAAAAGTTTAAAATGAATATTTTATATCACTTTTTTCTTCCTTTGTTCCTTCCTCTCTTTTTCCCTCCTCCCATTTTCCCTCTCATCAGATACAGGGGAAACCAGGCTTCTCTCTTGGGGTTCTTAGTCTCATTAATAAAAGAATTGAAGAATGGACTCACAAAGAAGCTCAAGGGTAATTTTACTAGAGCTTAAAAAACCCTCAGGATTGGCAAGATGTAAGTTTTAGCATCTGCTTGGAGAAGGAGAATGGAGGAGAGAAGAGAGTAAAAAAGCCACATTGTGCAGGCTAGAGTGGAGGTCAGACATGGCCATCACGCAGTCACATGGTGGGGAGCATGGCTTTAGAGAAGGAGTAAGAAGCCCCAAATACTGAAGTCCAGGCTGTTAAAGGAAAGCATGCCTGAACACAGTGGTAGAAAGAAGCGATGAGAAGTCACACTTTTCTGAACAATTGATAAAAGGCACAGACGTTTGAAGCTGCATGGCAGAAAAACACAGGATCTCATTAAGCTGCTCATTCTTCTGCTTCTCTTTAGCATGGCTTAGGGTGAGTCTGCCTCCTCAGGGAATGCCATTTGGCTAAGTGTTTAATCTGACCTAACTGAAATGTTAGGTCACTCAGGCCAGAGATTCTATTCTCTTGACTAAAAAGATTTTTTCCACTTTAATACATTCATTTATTCATTTCCCCTTAATTACTAGTTGAGACTGGGAGAAGAAATGGCAGCCCTTGATTTCAGCTTTTAGAGAGGGGGAACACACAAAGAATAAAGAAACACAATGTATTATAGGAATTCTGATAAGGACAAATGCTAGGACAAGAAATAAATAAAAGCAGAGTAAAGGAATAGAGTTCGATGGAGCAGTTGACTGTGTCAGATTGGAGTAATCAGTAAATGTATCTTTGAGAAGAGTTCTCATAAAGGGAGAGAAAGGAAAGACCAAAGAGTATTCCAGAGATTACCAAAGGCAATAACGTGGAGGGGAATGTTATTGGTTCATTTGAGACACAGCAGAAGGTCAATGAAGATGAAGTGGAGAGAGGAGATAGAGAAATAGTTGGAGTGAAATATGAGAACATAAAGGGTAAGATAATTGAAAGTATAGGAAATATTAAGGAAGCTGAAGAAAAGACTCAGTGGTTAAGGAAATATTAAGGATTGTGTTTCAGTTAATATGGGACACTTAAGTATCCTACTTAAGGGAATGATGTGTGACTTATATCTTATAAATGTCATTCAATATTTATACAGAACAAACCAATGATAGCATAAATAAAATAAAAAACTAGCTGGGTTGCAACTGAAGAATTTTAGTAAAACATAATGGTAGGTCATAGTAGATGGTGATAATTTTGTTTGGAAAGTGTAACTTTTTTATTTAATTATTTTATTTTATGTGTATGAATATTTTGCCTGCATATGTGTACCACATATGTGTAGTGTTTGTAGAGGTCATAAGAGGATGTCAGGGCCACTGGAACTGGACTTACAGGTAATTGTTTGTTACAGTGTTTTCTGCCTGGTTTTGTAGCTGTCTCAGAGCTCCAAATAAACACACAAGACTTATATTAATTATGAAACTGTTGACCGTTGGCTTTGGTTTCTTATTAGCTAAATCTGACTTAATTACTAAACTATAACTACTAATCCATGTGTTTTCACATGGTCTTGGCTTACCAGACCTGCGACTCCTTTGCCTGCCACATCGTGACTGCTCAACATCTCCACAGAGAAGAGAAGAGAAGAGAAGAGAAGAGAGAGATTTCTTGTTTGTCCCTGCTAATATGCCGATTCTGCCCAGCTACATCACTTCTGGGGGCACATGACGACTCCTCTCTGCCTACACTTCCCAGAATCCTCCTTGTTTTCTAGTCCTACCTATCCTCCTTCCTGGTCAATCAGTGCTTTATTCACCAACCAATAAGACAAGCATACACACAGAAGAACATTCCCCATCAGTTGTTAGCTACTACATGGGTGCTGGGAACTGAATCCAGTTCCTCTGCAAGAACAACAAATGCTCTCAACTCCTGAGCCAGTTCTCCAACTCTGAATGGCATGTGCTTGGTTGGTAGATTCACAAGCCTTCATTATAGATTGAAAATATGCTGTGAAATAAAAAGAAAAATCAGTGGTGATTTTGTTTTTGTCTTGGGGTAGGTAAACGTATCATTTATAGAGGTAGGAGAGTTTGAGGAGGAAAACTGTTATTGTGTTATGGAACAGAACCAATAGAATATACCCCCCCATACCCAACCACACAAGAATAAAGGGGAATTATATGACTGACTTATGCAATAGGGGCTGGCTCATCCAACAATGGCTGTGTGCAGCAAGGCAGTCAGAGAACCTGGTAGCTGCTGAGTTCAAGAAATTGGATACCTCAACACTCCCAACCCAGTGCTGAAAGCCTAGAAGTTACTGGTGTTGAATCTATTTTAAAAGCCAAATATATTGGCACCTGATGTCAGAGAATGATGGCAGAAGCTATCAACACACTCAGAGATGTATATTGGCTTCCTCCACTTACCTTCTGCTATTATCTCTATTAACTTCTTTTGATGCTGCTGACTGATTGGATGGGTGTAATGTGTAGCCTTCCTGCCAGCCGCTTGGGTCCTGTTGTACGTATGGATACCTAAAAAAGAGGATAGCTACCCAAAGGACCATCAAACAAAAAAAAACCTAATGTTTGATATCAATGTCTAATTCTCTTAATTTCGTTCTTATTATATCTATTTCCTTTTACTTCCTAATACTCTTTTGGTCCCAATTCACTTAAACTAAAGCTGGCTTTGGAGTTGAATTTGGCTCTCCTCTTCTAAATCCAAGCATGTTAAAATAAAATTCAAAATGTCTGTATTATATCAAGGAGCCAATTGATGTAAGACAGAAGAAAACAAAATCTAGGGACTGTCATCTGTTTACACTCGGTTCTTTCTCTGAAAGTCTAATTTTCCTCACATTTACCATCTTCCTTATTGTTGCCTTTCCCAGTATGCACACATATAAAAGATAAAAATTTCTCTGTTAACATTAATGTTTGAGTTTTCCAAAGAGAACAAGGAATTTCCTAATAGCAATCTTCAAAAACCTCAGAAAAAATGGGGCCCCATTTCATCAATTCCATCTGATGTTACTTAATACATCTAAACTGACAAGTACCGTCCTAGAACTGGTTGGGACTACATTGCTCTACACAACTCCAGACCAACAAACTGAAATTGTACACTTTCTACAATCTGGCCAGAACCTCAGACAAGAACTTCAATCAATATTAAAACTTCAGTCAAGAACTTCAATCAAATATCTCCCACCAGAGACTGGATACAAATATTGTAGCCAGTCCACTCGAGACTTTCTCTACACTAACATTTTCTTCCTACAGGATCCCATGAGGTTATTGTCATCACATTTCAACAAAAAGTAATTCTAAAAATACTATGCCCCCTTCCCTACTGTTGACATTACACCTGTTAGAGTTAGTTTTCAATTATTTAGGGTCGGGATTGAAAGGAGGTGTTCAAACTTGAACATTTCTTTCAGATAAGTTTAGGGTTTAGATGGGATAGATATACCTAGGATAAGTAGATTATAATTTGTTTATCATCTTCTATATATATATGCTTTATATATGTTTGAGATATTTTGTATATTAACACAATATAGTTTTGTTTTAAGTCTAATTTTTTGTTTAGACTAAAAGAGAAATTGTAGGGAGAGATTTTATGTATCCCAGCGCTGACCATGCCCATGTGGGTGTGTGCACCGGTATGTAGAACGTACTGGGATAAAAAGAGCTAGGGGGAGGAGACGCTCTCTTTTTTGAGTTTTGGATTTGGCCTGGAGAGCAGTGTGCGAACCTTTGGTTCTCAGCTTTCTTGGCTTCTCACGTAAATGATTTCTCTTTCAATAAAATATCACAGGACATCCCTATTTTGGGTAGTTTAGTATTTCTGCATTATATGGGGCTACTCATATTGAGGGTGTGCTCTTCCACAACTATTATACAGGTCAAACCTTTTTGAAAATAACCCCACAGGGGAGGGCCTAGGCCCTGCCCCAAATGATGTGACAGATTTTAATGATCCCCCATAGAAGGCCTCACCCTTTCTGTGGAGCAGAAGGGGGATGGGATGGGGGTTTGTGGGGGCAGGAAAGGATGGGAGGGAGAGGGAACTGGAATTGATATATAAAATAAGATTGTTTCTAATTTAAATAAAAAAGGAAAAAAACAATTCCTCCATTCATTTGTCATTGGTTATACGTAATATCTAAATCAAATATTACTAAAAGAAGAAGAAGAAAATAACCCCAAAGACAAGCAAATGCACATTTTACTGTTCCTAGGGATCACTCAATCTAGTTGACAACAAAGACCAACCATTACAGTAAAGATTTAGGGTCTGTTAAAATTATGCTCTGTTACATACGTCAGTGTGGGTCGTTGGGTACGTGAGTCTGGATTGGAGAAGGATCTGTGTGTGCACACTTGGATATTATGGTATTTAGATACTATTTAAAGCATGAAATTATGTAGTGAGGATAAAGTGAGAAAAATGAGAATGATGTTTCGGCAGAGGAGATGAACTTGAGGCAACTGGCCTCATAAGTGTTGGAGGTGGACAGAGCAAAATAGAAACATTAGGATGTCCTAGACATGATGAATGAGGTGCTGACTCAGAGGAGTTGGAAACTAAAAAGGTATAGGTCAGGATTTTAGGTGAGAAAAATCCTCAGAGTGGATACTGAAACCGCTGGTGGAAGAGTATAGCCTGGCGGCAGCAACTATTTCTAATAGGCTCAGTCAGGTTAGCTGAGAAGATCCAGAAACAATCAAGTGTCACAATATGTAGACGTTGATGGAAGATAAGATCAGTCTATGATGACTGCTGATTACTAGTCTATGAGACTGGAAGAAAGTAGGAGAGCTACTTGGAATCTTAGACACACACACACACATACACACACACACACACACACACACAAATGTACATGGAATGAGAGGGGGAGAGAGACAGAGACAGACAGATACAGACAGACAGAAAAAAGAAAGAGACAGAGAAAAGAGATAGACACAGAGAGACAGAAGGGACATATATATATATATATATTTATATATACTACTGATTGCATTGTTGGAACTATTATTCAGTTTTGAGTTCTTTGTATATTCAAGATACTATTATTCCATTGGCAGATGTAGAGGTAGGAACATTTTTTCCCCATTCTCTTTACCCAGTTGTTTTCTTTGCTATGCAGAAGCCTTTTAATTTCTTGGTATTGGGGTAAGAGGGAAAACACTAAGTTTGGGAGAAAGAGGGATGTTTAAGAAAGAGTTATATCCAAGTGAGAGGAGAGGGACACTGCATAGAAAGAACTTGGAGACACGAATCCTGACAGGGGAGAGTTGGTTATTTCTACTGCAGGAAGAAAGAAGAAACATCTCATGATTGTTTCAGACTTCCCAATGGATTACAATGTACCTCTACCTGCTAAAAGTTAGGAAGTCTGGGAATTCATAAATCACTCATTTTTGAGGTAGAATGATGCAATGCAAATTAGCGGTCTTCTCAGGAATAGGCAGGATAAGACCCATCCACTTTGGATGCAGAAGACAAAAAAGACATGGGGCATGTGTAGAAAATGTAAACCGATCTATTAAACCAATGAGATATCGGCTTGCTTTTATGAACATAATGCATAAGCATACTAAACAATGCCTATGATAAAATATTCTGTTTTGAAAAATACCTTTTACTGAAAGCCCTTAGCCAAACAATTGTATTCTTGAGCTTTACTAGAGCTATCCACATGTGAGTCAGTGTAACACATGAAAATATACTGCATTTCTAAATGTAGTTATTAATAAGTAGGGTCCTTTAGTGAAATTATTTTCGAGAGCTGCTATTTGAAAATATTGACCTTTGGGTCCCAATAGCTTTACTAGTTCCATTAGTAATTTTAAATGGGTCAGAATCATTTGAACTGCCTCCAGGCAAATTCACAGCTGTATAAAAATCATGTGTTTAAACTGTAGATTAGAAATAAAGGAAGATAGACCAATGATTGTGACAGTAACAGAATTGAAGTTACTTCAGTTCTGTTATCCTGTGTGACCACTTGGGTCAAGTATCAATGTTTAATATTTATAAAAGCAGAAGAAAACTAAAATTGCAAAGTTGTTATAATTTTGTTTGTGCATGTAATTTTCAGCTCATCACTTAAATATACTTATCTCTGGCCATGACTGTTACTGAATGGACTGTTGTATTGGGAGCACTGTATGTTAAAATACAACCCATTCTATGTGTTAAAGAAAATTCCTGAATAGGAGCTGTGGTCGCTAAGGCTGGTGGGCTCATTAAAACTTGAAGGCATGTGGAGAGTTTGAAATGTTACAGGCCTGGAAGCCCAATTACATTTTGTCTCAGGCTATCTTCAGCACTCCTAAAAAAAAGCATCCTTTGCCTATTCTTTGCCAGACCCAACAACCTGATAAACAGATAAAAAGCTCTGAAATACATTAACTTAACAAAACCCTATTCAAAGGATGAACGTACCAGATGTCACCCAAGGCCTGTCTGCCTGGCTTCGACCTGCTTCTCTGTGGCACCCACCATGGCATTCTCAAGTTGCCTTGATTTTTGACATTGTTCTGCTACTGTAAAACTTGGTGGAGAGAGTGGGAATACGGGAGGGAGAGGGAACTGGGATTGGTATGTAAAATTAAGATTGTTTAAAAAAAGGAAAACTTGGTGAAACTCCTTCCACATTGAAACCTGGGGTAACTAGCTATTTGTCCCTGGGCCTGGTTCACTCATATTTGCTCCAAAATAAATAACCTTTCATTCCCTTTGGGGTGAGAACTGTGGTTGTGTGTATTTGTGTGTGTGTGTGTGTGTGTGTGTGTGTGTGTGTGTGTGTTGACAGCTATGTTCAGCATTGCTTGTACTCTTACCGTGAATCGTAAGTAAGATCAGGCAGCATTCTTGTTTGTTCACTTCAATCCTTAATGTATTCAGAGGAAGAGGCACAGGCAGCCTTTCCTCATGCTGCAAATCTGAGATAGGTTATATTAGTGATCCATAGCAT